TCACAAATCACACTAAAAGAAGAACAAACCAAGGAAATTTTTCAAAGTAAAATTACAAAGCCCTAATTTATGTAAAATTTTAAAAATGAAACAAGAAAAATCAAGACACAATTTCAATGAGAAAGACACCAACTGAGAGCTTATGACAACATATATTTGGAGTTTCAAAAAATCCAGCAAAAGGAAATAATCTTCCTTTTAAGCATTCAACCACAATGCATGTCAAAATTAAATTACAGAAATTGAACCTAGCAAACCAATCTGCCCTGTAACAAATAGAGTGAAACCAACAAAATAAATACCTCCCTAAACACATACTTACACAAACAAGAGGCACAAAAATTGAATTCGCTGTTTGAAGCACACAAGGAGAAAAACAACCGGGAAACTCGCATACACACAGACAAATTATTAATCCTTAAATGCTACACAACCATAAAAATTTAAAATCCTTAATTCCCCTACACTACAAAACAACAGAAAACTCTCATACACATATTTAGAGTTTCAAAAAATTCAGCAAAAGAAAATAATCTTCCTTTTAAACATTTTACCACAATGCATGTCAAAATTAAGTTTCAAAAATTGAACCCAACAAGCAAACCTGTTCTGTAACAAACAGAGTTAAAATCAACAAAACAAAAAACTCCCAAAATACACCTACACACAAATCAGGCACATAAATTGAATTCAGCTAATCATGCAAGCCATTAGCTTAGAGCACACAAAGAGAAAAACAACAAGGAAACTCCCATACACAGGCACAAATTTTTAATCCTTAAATCCTACACACATACAACTTTAGAATCCTTAACTCCCCTACACTGCAAGTCGTTCTTGGAGCACATAGCGCATAAGTTTCATAGAGACCAACGAATCACAAATCACACTAAAAGAAGAACAACCCGAGGAAATTTTTCAAAGTAAAATTACAAAGCCCTAATTTATGTAAAAATTTAAAAATGAAACAAGAAGAATCAAGACACAATTTCAATGAGAAAGACACCAACTGAGAGCTTATGACAACATATATTTGGAGTTTCAAAAAATCCAGCAAAAGGAAATAATCTTCCTTTTAAACATTCAACCACAATGCATGTCAAAATTAAATTACAGAAATTGAACCTAACAAACCAATCTGTCCTGTAACAAATAGAGTGAAACCAACAAAATAAATACCTCCCTAAACACATACTTACACAAACAAGAGGCACAGAAATTGAATTCGCTGTTTGAAGCACACAAGGAGAAAAACAACCGGGAAACTCGCATACACACAGACACAAATTATTAATCCTTAAATGCTACACAACCATAAAAATTTAGAATCCTTAATTCCCCTTACACTACAAAACAACAGGAAACTCCCATACACATATTTAGAGTTTCAAAAAATCCAGCAAAAGAAAATAATCTTCCTTTTAAACATTTTACCACAATGCATGTCAAAATTAAGTTTCAAAAATTGAACCCAACAAGCAAACCTGTTCTGTAACAAACAGAGTTAAAATCAACAAAACAAAAAACTCCCAAAATACACCTACACACATCAGGCACATAAATTGAATTCAACTAATCATGCAAGCCATTAGCTTAGAGCACACAAAGAGAAAAACAACAAGAAAACTCCCATACACAGGCACAAATTTTTAATCCTTAAATCCTACACACATACAACTTTAGAATCCTTAACTCCCCTACACTGCAAGTCGTTCTTGGAGCACATAGCGCATAAGTTTCATAGAGACCAACGAATCACAAATCACACTAAAAGAAGAACAACCCAAGGAAATTTTTCAAAGTAAAATTACAAAGCCCTAATTTATGTAAAAATTTAAAAATGAAACAAGAAGAATCAAGACACAATTTCAATGAGAAAGACACCAACTGAGAGCTTATGACAACATATATTTAGAGTTTCAAAAAATTCAGTAAAAGAAAATAATCTTCCTTTTAAGCATTCAACCACAATGCATGCCAAAATTAAATTACAGAAATTGAACTTAGCAAACCAATCTACCCTGTAACAAATAGAGTGAAACCAACAAAATAAATACCTCCCTAAACACATACTTACACAAACAAGAGGCACAGAAATTGAATTCGCTGTTTGAAGCACACAAGGAGAAAAACAACCGGGAAACTCGCCTACACACAGACACAAATTATTAATCCTTAAATGCTACACAACCATAAAAATTTAGAATCCTTAATTCCCCCTACACTACAAAACAACAGGAAACTCTCATACACATATTTAGAGTTTCAAAAAATCCAGCAAAAGAAAATAATCTTCCTTTTAAACATTTTACCACAATGCATGTCAAAATTAAGTTTCAGAAATTGAACCCAACAAGCAAACATGTTCTGTAACAAACAGAGTGAAATCAACAAAACAAAAAACTCCCAAAATACACCTACACACACATCAGGCACATAAATTGAATTCAGCTAATCATGCAAGCCATTAGCTTAGAGCACACAAAGAGAAAAACAACAAGGAAACTCCCATACACAGTCACACAAATTTTTAATCCTTAAATCCTACACACATACAACTTTAGAATCCTTAACTCCCCTACACTGCAAGTCGTTCTTGAAGCACATAGCGCACAAGTTTCATAGAGACCAACGAATCACAAATCACACTAAAGAAAGAACAACCCAAGGGAATTTTTCAAAGTAAAGTTACAAAGCCCTAATTTATGTAAAAATTTAAAAATGAAACAAGAATAATCAAGACACAATTTCAATGAGAAAGACACCAACTGAGAGCTTATGACAACATATATTTAGAGTTTCAAAGAATCCAGCAAAAGAAAATAATCTTTCTTTTAAGCATTCAACCACAATACATGCCAAAATTAAATTACAAAAATTGAACCTAGCAAACCAATCTGCCCTGTAACAAATAGAGTGAAACCAACAAAATAAAAATCTCCCTAAACACATACTTACACAAACAAGAGGCACAAAAATTGAATTCGCTGTTCGAAGCACACAAGGAGAAAAACAACCGGGAAACTCGCATACACACAGACACAAATTATTAATCCTTAAATGCTACACAACCATAAAAATTTAGAATCCTTAATTCCCCTTACACTACAAAACAACAAGGAAACTCCCATACACATATTTAGAATTTCAAAGAATCCAGCAAAAGGAAATAATCTACCTTTTAAACATTTTACCACAATGCATGTCAAAATTAAGTTTCAAAAATTGAACCCAAGCCAACCTGTTTTATAACAAACAGAGTGAAATCAACAAAACAAAAAACTCCCAAAATACACCTACACACACATCAGGCACAGAAATTGAAATCAGCTAATCATGCAAACCATTAGCTTAGAGCACACAAAGAGAAAAACAAGGAAACTCCCATACATAACCACACAAATTTTTAATCCTTAAAACAAGTTTCATAGAGACCAACGAATCACAAACCACACTAAAGGAAGAACCCAAGGAAATTTTTCAAAGTAAAGTTACAAAGCCCTAATTTATGTAAAAATTTAAAAATGAAACAAGAAGAATCAAGACAATTTCAATGAGAAAGACACCAACTGAGAGCCTATGACAACATATATTTAGAGTTTCAACGAATCCAGCAAAAGGAAATAATCTTCCTTTTAAGCATTCAACCACAATGCATGTCAAAATTAAATTACAAAAATTGAACCTAGCAAACCAATTTGCCCTATAACAAATAGAGTGAAACCAACAAAATAAAAATCTCCCTAAACACATACCTACACACACAAGAGGCACAGAAATTGAATTCGCTGCTTGAAGCACACAAGGAGAAAAACAACAGGGAAACTCCCATACACAGTCACGTAAATTATTAATCCTTAAATGTTACACAACCATAGAAATTTAGAATCCTTAATTCCCCTTACACTACAAAACAACAAGGAAACTCCCATACACATATTTAGAATTTCAAAGAATCCAGCAAAAGGAAATAATCTACCTTTTAAACATTTTACCACAATGCATGTCAAAATTAAGTTTCAGAAATTGAACCCAACAAGCCAACCTGTTTTATAACAAACAGAGTGAAATCAACAAAACAAAAACTCCCAAAATACACCTACACACACATCAGGCACAGAAATTGAAATCAGCTAATCATACAAACCATTAGCTTAGAGCACACAAAAAGAAAAACAAGGAAACTCCCATACATAGCCACACAAATTTTTAATCCTTAAATCCTACACACATACAACTTTAAAATCCTTAATTCCCCCTACACTGCAAGTCGTTCTTGAAGCACATAGCGCACAAGTTTCATAGAGACCAACGAATCACAAACCACACTAAAGGAAGAACAACCCAAGAGAATTTTTCAAAGTAAAGTTACAAAGCCCTAATTTATGTAAAAATTTAAAAATGACACAAGAAGAATCCAGAGACAATCTCAATGAGAAAGACACCAACTGAGAGCCTATGACAACATATATTTAGAGTTTCAAAGAATCCAACAAAAGGAAATAATCTTCTTTTTAAGCATTCAACCACAATGCATGTCAAAATTAAATTACAGAAATTGAACCTAACAAACAGAGTGAAACCAACATAACAAAAAACTCTCAAAATACGCCTACACAAACAAGATGCACAAAAATTGAATTCACCTTATACTGCAAGCCATTTGCTTAGAGCATACAGCCCATACAGATAATCTTCTTTTTAAGCAACAATTTCTATCCTCGTCAAAATTAAGTTACAGAAATTAAAAGAAAGAAACCATTCTATCCTACAACAAAAAGATTGTAACAAACAAAAAAGAAACTTTGCAAAATATATACACAAGAGGCACAGAAATTTGAATCCTCCTTATCATGCAACCCATTCGCTATAGAGCAGGCAACTACTAAATAATATCCACACTTAAGAAGACAACAACTAAGGGTTTTCAAAAGTTAAATTTCCAAAAACTAACTAATATAGATAAATGTGTCACAAGAAAAAATTAAAACATGACATAACAAAGCCTCAATGAGAAAAAACCGACAACTATGAATGGCCAAAGATGATAACTAACTCCAATAACAAAAGAGGCAAGGAATCTTCCTTTTAACACTCAACCTTTGGGTTTGGTGGAACTTAGTTTCAGAAATTAAACCTAAGAAATTAATCCATCAAGCAATAAAGTTGAACCAACAAAAAATAACTAACTCCTAACATGCACAACACACAGCTATACAAATTTGAATCTCTAATTCTTTCCATCTTTGCAAGCTTGCAAACACACAATCCATTGAGCTCCATGGAGACTACCAAATAACAATCATACTTATGAAACCACAATCCAAAGATTTTTTCAAAAGCAAAATTACAAAACTCAACTCATGTACACAAAAAATGAAACAAGAAGAATCTGATATAACAAAATCTTAATGAGAAAAGATATCGACAGAAATGCTTAGGAATATTATGTTTCCATTTCAAAGAGCCAAATAACAAGAGGAAGCTTCATTCAAAGTCACGTACCATTCTAAAATCAGCAAGATGTGATACAATAAGTCCATACCACCTAAGTTAAATGCAATTGTCATGGAACCAAATAATCTTAGTGGACCAAAACCGAACATGAAAACAAAATCTCAACAAGAAAAGACATCTATAAAGATGCTTAGGGATATTATTGTTTCCATTCAACGTGTCATATAACAATTACATACCAGTTGAGTTAAACACAATTGTCATGCCATAGGATAATTTTAGTGTTTCCCCCAAGTATAACTATAACAATGCTATTTGAAAAATAAAAATAGAAGAACTTGACAAGAACAGCTAGCAAATAAAGTAAAAGTAAGGCAATAAGAAATGAATAAAGCAACAGCTAACCACATTCATTACCAACTCATTTTACTGATTGAACAAACCCAAGCTCACAAATAAAGTATTATAACCTTAACCTAAACTCAAAACCTCCAATATATCCTAAATAAATTTAACCCCAATACAACCCTAAGATAATTATCCATTACTTTCTAAATAGAAGGCCTTATATTGTTAAAGACTAACCCTAACCTTAAGACAACATTAACTTACTTTCTCAATGAATAATCATAACATAACATTAGAAAAACTCAATGAGAACACACATCTAATGAAAGACGAAAAAAGACACGTATTTAGAGTTTTAGAGAATACAATATGAAAAGAGGTAAGCTTTCTTTTGAAATGGCATATCATTCAACATATGGTATCGCAAAGCAGTAGCCTGGATAAGTTCCTTTGGAACCAAAAAGAAAAATCCATTAAAAAAATTACATTTGTTCTGTGAATATCCCACTACTTTACAACCAATGCCATAAATAAACATGATGAAAATATTGGTATTTGTACTCACCTAGATAACCTCTCTCCATTTTAGTATCATTAATGCAAAAATTAATAGATTTTTATGAGCAAAACATTAAATGATAATTGATCTTCCTAAAAAAGTAGTTTCTCAATGATAATTACAAAAATCCTATACCATAAAAAAAATCCAAAATACTAACTGTGGGAAAACATTTAGTTACAAGTGATTGTATTTTGTAATCTGCTGATTGTAATCTGTATATATCTGTATCTCCCTAAAATTGAGAATTTGTATCTCTAGAATTAAGGACAGAATATCAGGATAGACAATTCCTTGATTATAGGGATTAGATTTAGGAATATTTAGTTTCCTAGTTTACTCTCTAGCTAGCTGTATTTAAATCTATGGTGTTTGTATGATTCAAGACACAAGTTTTCAATATACTCTCATTTTTCCACATGGTATCAGAGCTTTAGACTCTTCTTGGGAAGAAAATTTCTCAGCCTTCATTGCTGAATTTTTTTTTAGGCCTTCATAGCCAAATTTTTAAGTCTGTCATACTTTTATTTTGTTCCTTTTTTTTTTTTTGGCCTTCATTGCCTATACTTGTTTCAGTCCTGAGAAAGGTAATCATGTCAGAAATAGCAGAATCTGCAGCTACTACTCGATTTGGAGAAGTAACAACTGGTCAAACCACAGCGGAATTACAGAATATCCAAGCTGCATACAGGTTGAATGGAAAGAACTACTTGAAGTGGTCTCAGTTGGTTCAAACCTTTCTAAAAGGGAAAGGAAAATTGAGCCATCTTCTTGGCACTGGTCCTGAGAAAGGAGATCCAAAATTTGAGACTTGGGATGAAGAGGATTCTATGGTTATGTCATGGCTGTGGAATTCTATGATGCCAGATATTAGTGACACTTGTATGTTTTTGTCCACGGCCAAAGACATTTGGGAATCAATTCGTCAAACCTATTCCAAAGTTAAAGATGCTGCTCAAGTCTATGAGGTCAAGATCAAGACTGCAGCTCTCAAACAAGGGAATAAGTCAGTCACAGAGTATGCTATTCTTCTTAAAAATCTTTGGCAAGAGATGGATCACTACCGGTGCATAGAAATGAAGTGCAGTGAAGATGCAACAACTTTGAAGAAATTTATTGAAAAAGATCGAGTCTATGATTTTCTTGCTGGACTGAATGTTGAGTTTGATCAAGTCAGAGTCCAAATTCTGGGAAAACAAGATCTGCCTTCTTTAAATGAAGTGATATCCATGGTTAGAGCAGAAAAGAGCAGAAGAGGAGTGATGCTTGACAGTGTGCATGTAGAAAGATCTGCTATGGTCTCTAATGGTGGGAAGAACCAAAGCTTAGAACAATTACCAGTCAGTGAGAATGAGAAAGGTGATTCGGCTAAAACTTCAAATCGCGACAATCTTTGGTGCACCTATTGCAAGAAGCCAAGACACACTAGAGATCGTTGCTGGAAACTACATGGAAAACCTTCAACTTGAAGCAAAGAATGGGGTTATAAAGGAGGACAGCCAAGAAATCAAGGACAAGCTCACATGACTGCAATGGAGTTAAACCAGGAGAAGTCTCAGGAACAAGGAGAGTTGGATAAAAAAGAGATTGAGAAACTGAGAAGCCTATTGGGAACTCTTGAAAAGGCTACTGGTGTATGCTCCTTGGCACACTCAGGTAAGGACTCTGGTGCAGGTAAAGTCTCTAATTCTCATGGATTAAATGTCTCAGATAAGTCCATTAAGAGTTCTTGGGTCATTGACTCAGGAGCCACAGACCACATGACACATTCTTCACAAAAGTTTAGTACATATACCCTATGTCCTGGTACTAAGAAAATTACTGTTGCAGATGGTTCACTTACTACAATGACAGGATTAGGAGATGTTCAAATTAATCCCTCATTCATTATTAAAAATGTTCTTCATGTTCCTAGATTGTCTACTAATCTGATATCTATACAAAGACTTACTAGAGACATGAACTGCAATGTGACTTTTTATCCCTCTTACTGTGAATTTCAGGACCAGGGTTCGGGGAAGAGGATTGGACTTGCTAAGGAGAAGGATGGACTATACTATCTTGAGACATCCAACAACATAAGTAATATCAAGAATAGTTTACCTTTGTCATTTCTTTCTGAACAATCTTCCAATAAAGACAAAATCTGGCTTTATCATTTTCGTTTTGGACACCCTTTTTTTGGAACTTTGAAAAACATGTTTCCTTCCTTGTTCAAAGGATTAAACGTTGAAGAGTTTCATTGTGATGTTTGTGAACTTGCAAAACACAGACGTGTATCTTTTCCAATTTGCAACAAAAAAAGTTCTACTCCATTTTACTTGATTCATAGTGACATCTGGGGTCCCTCTACAGTTCCTAATATTTCTGGGGCAAGATGATTTGTGTCATTCATAGATGATTGTACCAAGGTTTCTTGGGTTTTTTTACTTAAATCCAAATCAGATGTGAATAGTATGTTTTTTAGCTTCCAAAACATGATCCAAAATCAATTTGGAGTGAAAATCAAAAGATTTAGGTCTGATAATGCAAGAGACTATTTCAACCAGAGTCTATCCACCTATTTCCAAAATGAGGGGATTATCCATGAGTCATCTTGTGTTAATACTCCACAGCAAAATGGAGTGGCAGAGAGAAAAAATAGTCACTTACTAGCCACAATCCGAGCCTTCCTTTTTCAAGCAAATGTGCCCAAATCTTACTCGGGGAAAGCTGTTCTCACTGCTACACACATTATAAATAGGTTACCTTCAAGGGTTTTGGGATTTAAAACTCCTATGGAACTACTCTCACAATTCTATCCCAACCTTAATACCACAAACAACCTCACACCTAGGATATTCGGTTGTACATCATTTGTTCATGTTCACAGTCATAATAGGGGAAAGTTGGATCCGAAAGCAATTAGGTGTATCTTTGTGGGGTATTCATCAACTCAAAAAGGGTATAAGTGCTATCATCCTCCTACTAAAAAGTTCTATGTGTCTGCAGATGTCACTTTTGAAAAAAGTAAACTATTTTTTACTCAACCTTATCTTCAGGGGGAGACATCATTTATAGAAGATAAGGATAAGGACTTCTTTTTGCTTGACTTGTCATCCTCCTCCAAAACAGTTTCACCCATTAATTCTTTTGAGCCTAAACCCATTTCTTCAGAGTGCAAGTCAAACACTGATTCTAAATTTGAACCCATTCCAAACACAGAAGTTGTGACTAAAGATAATACTATTCTTGATTCTGTGAAAAAATTACAGGTGTACTCAAGAAAGAAAGTTCCAGCTCCTGAACCGGTGTAAATCCAAGAACCTGATCCTAACTCTGGAAATGAGGTAATTACAGTCTCTGATTCTATTTCTCAAAATGAGCATGACTCTCCTAAAATTAGTGATTATGATCTACCTATTACCATTAGGAAAGGAACTAGAGAATGTACTAAACATCTATTATACTCAATCTCTAATTTTGTGTCATTTGAAAAGTTTTCACCATCCCATAAAAATTTTCTTGTGAGCCTAGACACTATTTCTATTCCAACTACATTATCTGAGGCATTATCCAATGAGAAATGGAAGCAGGCGATGAAAACAGAAATGGAGGCCTTAGAGAAAAATAACACATGGAAACTGGTAGAGTTGCCTGCAGGAAAACATCCAGTTGGGTGTAAATGGGTTTTCACTGTAAAGTATAAGGCAGATGGTACTATTGAAAGATACAAGGCCAGGCTGGTGGCTAAGGGCTACACTCAAACTTATGGAGTGGATTATCAGGAAACTTTTGCTCCAGTTGCCCAGATGAATACAGTTAGGATTTTATTATCCTTGGCGGCAAATTACAATTGGCAGCTTCAACAATTTGATGTAAAGAATGCCTTTCTACATGGTGATTTGGAAGAAGAAATATATATGAAAGTTCCACCGGGATTTGGGGGTCATCTAGAAGCACAAAAAGTATGCAAGCTGAAAAAGACTTTATATGGCCTTAAACAGTCTCCTAGGGCTTGGTTCGGGAGATTTGCCAAAGTGATGCTAGGAATGAAATATAAACAGAGTCAAGGGGATCACACACTGTTTATCAAGCACTCAGATCCGGGTAAGGTCACAATTTTATTAGTATATGTTGATATAATTGTAACTGGAGATGATGAAAAAGAAAGAAGTCTCTAAAACAGTGTTTTGGCCAGAAGAATTCGAGATAAAAGAGCTAGGGAGATTGAAGTGCTTCCTTAGGAATTGAAGTAGCCCACTCACGTCATGTATTTTTATCTCACAACAGAAATATGTGATGGATCTTTTAAAGGAAACTGGGAAGCTCGCATGTAAACCTGCAAGTACCCCTATAGATCCTAATCATAAGCTTGAAAAAGCTAATGAAGATACTGCTGTAGATAGAGAGATGTACCAAAGATTAGTTGGAAGACTTATTTATCTCTCACATACTATACCTGACATAGCATATGCTGTGAGTGTGATAAGTCAATTTATGTATAGCCCTAAAGAAGTACAACCTACAAGGCTGTCTACCGTGTACTACACTATTTGAAGGCTAATCCTGGAGAGGTATCTTGTTTAAAAGAAATTCAGGGTTGGTACTAGAGGCATATACAGATGCTGATTATGCAGGTTCAGTAACTGACAGAAGATCTACCTCAGGCTACTGCACTTTTCTAGGTGGTAATCTTGTAACTTGGAGGAGTAAAAAACAGAATGTGGTGGCAAGATCAAGTGCTGAAGCAGAGTTTAGGGCAATGGCTCAAGGAATTTGTGAATTACTATGGTTAAAGATTATTCTAGAAGACTTGAAGATCAAATGGGATGGACCAATGAGACTTTACTGTGATAATAAATCTGCAATAAGCATTGCACACAATCCTGTGCAACATGACAGAACAAAACACATTGAAGTAGACCGGCACTTCATAAAGGAAAAGCTAGACAGTGGATTGATTTGCACCCCATATGTATCAACCAAGGGTCAACTTGCAGATGTGTTGACTAAAGGCCTCAACAGTGCGACATTTCAGGAAGTTATTTCCAAGCTGGGAATGGAAAACACCTATTCACCAGCTTGAGGGGGAGTGTGGGAAAACATTTAGTTACAAGTGATTGTATTTTGTAATCTGCTGATTGTAATCTGTATATATCTGTATCTCCCTAAAATTGAGAATTTGTATCTCTAGAATTAAGGACAGAATATCAGGATAGACAATGCCTTGATTATAGGGATTAGATTTAGGAATATTTAGTTTCCTAGTTTACTCTCTAGCTAGCTGTATTTAAATCTATAGTGTTTGTATGATTCAAGACACAAGTTTTCAATATACTCTCATTTTTCCACACTAACATCTATTGATTGGCAAATGCTAAAAGAGATTTTAATCAAACAAGAATATTTACAATTAAGGCTTATGGCAAATACTAAAGGCCATCGTCTGCTTTATTCTTCAAGATAAGACATAATTAAGGTCTTTTTGGTTAAGTTGCAACATCAAATCTTTATCTTATAATTGAAAATTAACTACAAAGGCTCTTCTAGTGCACTGATTTGGGACATGAATGGACCAAGATTTAAAAATTTTAAGAGCTTAATTTTTTAATTTCCAGGAGGTGAGATTGGACTTGAATCATGAAAAGCGACTAATGAATACTTTAACATAACTTTTGCATTTTTTTTTGTCCTTTCTCCAATTTTCTTTGGCAGGTTAATAACTTTAGCCATGACACATAAGTATGCACATTTAAGATTCTTCTGAATCCATCTTATCAGTTGTAATCATCTACATCATTGGTTTATACCCACTAGACAAATTTCACGGTCGATGGGTAAATTAGGCCACAGGGTATGCTTAACCGTGCAATTGAACTCTCAATTAGATTCATATATGAATCATTAATGATAAATTGTCAGTACGACTATAGCCGAAAGAAATCAACTCACCACCCAAAGCAAAGTCCGTGGCTTTAGAGTGGTTATATTGTCAATAACCAGCTCAAATCCTTGAGGGGCATCAACTATCTCTACAATGGTCATTGCACCAAGCAAGAAAAAACGATTCAGCAAATGCATGTTTCAGCTCTGAAACAGCTAAATCAATTGAAGAAGCCTACAAATGTGAATGGCCCAAGCATTATTACACAAGTATTAACAGATAAAAGCGAAAATAAATAAGAAAATGATAAAAAAAAAAGTTTTCCATACAGAAGTCAGATGCATCAGCATAAGTAGCCATAGAATTCCATTAATAAAGGGAGATAGTCATAGTAACCATTTGCAGAATTCCTAGTGATGGTAACAAGCCACACACAAACACAAACTTTGGCTCTCCCAATTGACCATGGGGGTAGGTACCTAGTTTTGCTATCTTAATTCATTGCTAAGGTAGTTCCTTGGAATTGGTTTAAATTGGAGATGCTCCTTCCTTTAAATGGGAAGTGGGCTCCAACATAAATTAAAAATAAAGGATATTAAATTGCAATGATCACTTCATAAAAAGACAAGCCATTGCTCACCAAAAAACATAGACCAATAAAACTAGTAGATCAGGAAATAAGATTAGAGCCCAAGCATCCTGTATTTCATTAACTCTTGAATGAATACCAGGTCATGAGGCCACCACCAATGAACATGAGAGAAACAGGTTGAAACCTGACATAGTACTGAATAAAGCAACCAATACGCAACAGAATTTTGTGTTTTCATCCCAATTTATGAGAATGATAAATATGATGCAAACTACAAGAAGAGGGACAGCAGAAAAACATAGTCCAATCCTAAACATCTGAGAATCACTCTTACCCCTATGCTCCTTACCACCCATAAACTCACAGCCATCAACAATCTATTCCACTTTTATTGAAGGCTAGAAATTCTTCAAAGATAATGCCTGCATATCCTATTACAAAAAGCAATGCCATAGAAATATGCATTATGAAATTAGATCAACTTAAGAAAGGCTTCTGGGCATAATACAAGAATACACAAAATATTGGCCAAAGATGAAAAAATGATTACAACCTACAAAGAAAGGATTGCACAAGAAATTAAAGATAAACCTAGATGTTGGTAACCCACGATAGGTTAATTGCCACAGCCCCTGTTAAAGCTGCTGTGAAAACACCAATAGTTTTCAACAAATTAGTCTTTGACTGGTAAGTAACTTCAAAATCTAACGAGCTAGCTTCATCAACTCAACATAAAGGATCACAAGGTCCAGAGGTTGAGGTCAGCTCCTGTTGATATGCAAAGGTTATTTCAGTGTGTGGAAGAACCCAAAAATGAAGAAACACAGACACTGTCGTTTTGCTATGATGGTTGGTTTTTATAGCAATTTGGAGAATGCTTTCTAAACAGCCTTTTGAGTAATCTTCCCTCATAAAGAGGATCATTACTCAACCTCAATCCTGCCAATGAAGGATGAGAAACCAAGAAGAGTCATTTGAAAAATGTTCCTAGCCTTTAGGATTCAGCATTTTTTACACAATGAGGCTACTTTCAGGACTTGAACTTGTTCATTTGAGCCCCTTAGCCAAAATCTTTTATATTACACCAGACAGTGTCTCCTAATCAATCCTCATATATCTAACTAAATCAATCTGATTTCTGAGCTAAACATCTGCAGAAGGTAATTTCCAATAGCAATAGCTTGAAATTCTATCAAATTATTTGACCTCCTCATTAACCAAGATAAAATCTTCAAATGTATGAACTAGCAGTACAGGCAAATGGGTACCCTTAAACTGGAGTACTTATAAGCAAGACAATAGATGACAAAAGACACAAAATGAAATAAAAAAACACTCACCCAAATCATAAATCAATGAACATGCAAATGGGTACTCGTAAAGATAAAATTTTTCATAATGGCATAGGGATGAAAAGAACAAAAACCTCAAGCTGCTTTTCATTGTTGGGTTGAACTTTTTGTTGCCGTGCAATAACTTTCATTATGGGGTTTACCTAGACTCATAATTGTTGTTATATTATTACATTATAATATAAATCAAATTAAGAATTTTTTTTATTGAAAGAAAAAAAAAAACAATACTAATTTTTTTACTTGAGATACTATAACTAATTGAAGGTATGGATCCGATCTATAACTAAAGTTATAAAGGGGATACACTCATTCTTTTTGGTTTCTAACCTTTGGTGACATGGCTAACCAGTAAGCCGGGGGATTGCAAATCCCTTATTCCCCAGTTCAAATCAGGTTGTTGCTTGATCAACAAAAAACTTGGAACCCTATATTCTGCTTTGCTCATATGACTCAAAAAATTTTCTCTAGCAAAAACAAGTGCAAGAAAAGGACTCTTGATACTTTCTTGATTATAAACTTAGCAAGGTTTTGTCTTCAAATATGTTGTAAATCCTTACGTCTAGGATTCAAGGAAAAATTAGAGTAGGGGAGGGGAATCAGAAATCTTGATATGATATCCCCTCTCCAATTAAAAGAGGGGCTACTAGAAGAGACTTCAATTAGATTGGATATCATAATGGGAGTGTCTAATTATTAACAAATGAATAGTTGTACAAGGGTAAGTTATGAACAACAGTTACCTTTAGGAAGTTTTTCATGCTTTGAAAGCAAGGTCCAGACAACACATCATTGCAACATATGATTAATGCAACATATATGCATGCAATAATCCCCCATTCCCCAAAAGACAAAGGGAAAAAAAGGGAGGCAAAGAGGAATCTAACCCAAAATGAAGCATCACATGCATATGTTGATCAACAATAGGTGATAGACGCTAAAAGCACCCAGACAAGTAGACAACAGAGCTTGCATAGCATTTTACACATACAGGCCACAACCAAACAGAATAAGTCTATTGCAAATCATTGAAAAGGCTGCAGATCCTAACAAAAATGTTCACCTAATGGCTCCAGCTGCTACTTTGTGAAAATAAGCATGTGAATGCAACCAATCTTTAAATTTTAGCTTTCCAACATATGCACGTGGTGTCATTTTCCTCAAACAATAAGAATGGAAATCAAATTGATCTTCAGTAATATCAGCATAGTGCTTCTCCACAGCTATAAATTTCTCCAGGGCCCGTCCAAAATCACCATGTCGAAAGTAACTTTCATCAGAAGCAAGTTCATACCTTCAAAAGATGGATAACACTCAGTAGGTGTACCCAAATTATAATTAGAGACAACAACATGTGGAAGGTAATAAACAAAAACAGACCACATGCACTGCATGTCATGAAGGTTGTTGTGCTGGCCCCCATCTTTCGTGAACAAAACAGCAGTTTTTCCTGCCAAAACCACCTTCAAATGTAGAAAAAGTTTGTGAACAGTACAATAATACCGAAAGAAATTTAGTGACAAATATTAACTATGACAAAAGATGAAGTGGGGAAGCCTTAGAACCTGATCAGACTGCAACATTCGCTTCACAGATTCACTGTTTATATAGCGATCTGCAAGATCCATACACCTAGCTTCATCTGTCAATGAAGCCACAGCTACCAAATCACCAACATGTTTCAGTATCCGACTCTGTCACCAAAGAGAAGTAAATAATATACACATAGACCCAGCTTCAAGAAAATTCCAAGAACTTCTCCAAAAGATCAAGAAACAATAGCCAGTCAAACTAAAAAACACCAGTCAAACTAATACAAAAAAAAAAAAAAAAAATCTCACATGGATATAAAGGCTAGAAGAGGCTTAATGCAATCAATTGCCGCTTTACGAAATTTGTTTCCTTGCAGTAAATCAAGTGGTATCCTCTAAAATTTGAGAAAACAAAGCTTTAATATAAGTCCTAGAACATTCATCACACATCATAAAGGAAGTAGCATTTATTGGCAATAATGATGCACATTGTAACAGCAATAATTACAATTCTCATGAACGAATACATAACAAATGTGGGTTACAGGAAGAAAACAATTTAAATACATCCTCACTGCATGAGTCAAATTCCAAAAGCTCTAGAGTTTGACACTTTATTTCAATCATGCCATAACCTGGCCCATCGTCAAAAGGTTTTTATATAGTAAAGTCAGTTTAACTAAAAGAATGAGACAAAGATAGCCACTAATAAAAGAATTAGCCACCATGTCAACTCTCTAGGGGTGAAGCATATGAAAGCATAATTTTAACCACCTAGAGTTCTTACTATTGTCACATCAAGACATCGATGAAGTATTTCAGCATAATACCACAACTATCTATTTCTAGATTATTTAAGAATATCACAAGCCATCGAATGGACTGTGTCTATTGTAGAAGCACATCACTAGATTTTTGTCACATAATTTCTTATCAAGCCATCAAGAAAAACAAGATCCCTACAAGAGTATTTGTAAAAATAGCCGCCCCTCCTCTCTCTAGAAAAGGGGAGAAAGCTTGATAGCTCTACAAAAAAGTAAGGTTTTCGTTGAATTTGCATCATGTGATTCTATAAATAAGAGAGAGAAGAAATCCAGAGTAAATATAATGAACAGAACATCCCAAGGTACCATTTGGAGCTCATTAAAAAAAATACCAAACAGAAAATCAAATTAATATGACTAACAGCTAAGACATAATAAACCAGCTTACACTAGCAATATCATTATCTACAGTCTATAACGAGAACACATTTTATCACCAGAAAAAAAAAAGAAAAAAATCAAATCGGGCATTATTTGAAGTAAAAAAATTTAAATAAAATTAAGATGGTAGAAATCAAACCTTCAGAAGGTCTCCAAATTCCTCACACATTCCAATTTGTCCTCCACCAACTAATTCTCTACTTTGTTTGGATTAACCAATGGCCGAGAAAAATTCCTTCCCCTCAAAGGAATTAATTTCCCTCTTATTAGATCAAGAACCCTAATTTCCCAACCTAATCTTGATGCCCAATCTCAAGGAAAGTTAAATCGACTCATTACTTTCTTGATGTCGATATTATCGACAATAATCTATACTCCAAGCCGAAAAGGAATCCAAAAACGAAAAACCTAAATTTGAGAGAAAGAAAATTGAAATGATGAGAAGAATGGCTGAAGACAATGGTTTTTAAATTTAAAATGCAAAAAAATCTAACCGTTGAAACTTAACCAATTAAATTTTCAATTAAAAATTGACTTTTTTAAAATAAATGTAGTGACTAAATGAAAAACATATTTGATAAAAATCAGCTTTGCTTCTTTTATATAAATGAAAAAAAAATGCAAATAGAAAAAGTGGAGGAGCCTCATCAATTTTAAAAGAAATTTCATTTTTCTAACGAAAACAAAGTTGAGGAAGAATGGAGGATGCGAATGTTAGCAAAAGCAATTCTAAATTAAAATCTAAATTACCCCCACACCAAACTTTAACCAAAACCCAGCCAAGCCAAAGCTTAAAAGTTGCAAGGATGACTAGCGAGAAGGAATAGCATCGTTTCTCAAAATTGGCCAGAAGGATGGTGAAAGACTGATAAATATCTGCAATTACAAAAAAACCCCTCACCAGTTCACCAAAAAAAAAAGAAATGATCATTTTATTTGGTGGTTTAGAAATTTAGACTTTTCTCAAAATAAGAGGACCCTCCCCTTCTCGTTAGTCCCATTCCCAAAGACACGTGGTGGTGTCTATGATTCCATGGGGTCAACCATCACTGCACCCCATGATCAGCTTCTAAAACATTGTTGATAACTATATTATTAAGGAAAAAATTAGCAAAATCATGAACGAAAAATTGAAATAATGAATCAGTTGAGAAGAAAACCAAGTTAAATATATCAAATCTTTTTTGAAGACATTGTGTGTTCTTAGATTCTCTTCATATTTATGACATTTTTATTTTATTATATTTTTTTGTAAAAAAAAATTTAAAAATAAGAGAAGTTATCTTATTTTTAAAAATTAATAAATTATTTATTAATAAAAAATCATTAAAGATTTGAATCTAATTATCATAAATCTAGATACTTTACGTCTAAATCTTAAACTTTAATCATTTGCACCAATCTTTATTGACTTACTTGATTATAATTAATAAAAGAAAAACTCAATAAAGTGCTGAAAGAAAAAAAAAAAATTCATAACACCTTGATAAAATTGTTCATGCAAACTAACAAGGAGATATATGAATTTTTTTTTTTTTTAAACTTGTGGTACGAGATTGATTAACATTATTTGAAATTGAAAAACAGATTGATTAACATTATTTGAAAAAATCATAAAGTTCATAACGAACTTAAAATCATTGTGCATATCAAAATGACTAGTATTATTATTATTACTCATTATTAAAATTCACATTCAAAAAGAAGAGAGAAATTTTTGTTTTATGATAAAAAAATTCATTCATGGATCTTAGTTAATTTTCAAGGGGAGAAAAAAGAAAACAAGGAGTCCATTGAATTTCAACTAATTAGTTTCACAAATAAGATAAAAAGATTTACCTCAAATTAGGAATTGCACAAAAAAGATTATTTACCTCAAAAAGGTCTATGTAAAATTATAGGAAAACATTAATGGCTACTATCTTATTTATCAAAGAAAAATAAAATACACTATAGAGAATTAATTAGTGAGTTGGATATTCAGGAATAAAAAAATCGCTAATTTGAAAATTTTGAATTAGTCAATTTATTAGATATTTCATTTAGATATACTTTTAATTTTCAATAATCCATGTAAGAGTGAATTAAGGAAAAACTTATGAATCTATCAGGTACAAAAAAAGGCCTTAAGATAGTCAATATGATAGCCATTTAGCCGAATGGAGTTTTGTATAGAATATCAATAATAATAATAATAATAATAATAATTCCATTGCTACCATTATTATGATATTACATATTCCAATCCAATTGAATACTAGAAAAATAAAATGAATTCCTAATTTTATCTATTCATTTAGATAAAGAGAAAATAATCATAAAATATATATAGGGAGAGAGTTGATTTTTCTAGAACTTAACTTTTCCATAGATTCCATTGTTCAAAAAATGATTTACAGAGAGACATTTCACCAACTTTTTAGTTTTTTATTTTTTAGCAGAATATTTAGAATATGATTGAAGTGTGCATGAAAAGAGGCTTGTATTTATTAAACATGCGCAGATATAGCATTTCTATTTATATTCTTTCCTTTTTTTTATTCCATTATAGAACTCTAGTGGAGAAAACACACAACGTGCTCTATGAAAAATTCTATTTTTCTTTAATTTTAATCTATTCAATGAAAAATTGAAGCATGATAATTTTTTGCCAATTCCCTATGGACATCATATCTAGATAGATGAAATACATTATTAGATAACTATAGCTGTGTAATAACTTTTGTTCTGGGGTTTACATAGAATCATAATTGTTGTTATATTATTATAATATAATATAAATCAAATTAAGAAATTTTTTTTTATTGAAAAAAAGAACAATACTAATTTTTTACTTGAGATACTATAACTAATTGAAGGTATGGTTCCAATCTATAACTAAAGAGGGGATACTCCCATTTTTTTTGTTTCTAACCTTTGGTGACATGGCCAACCAGTAAGGCGAGGGACTGCAAATCCCTTATTCCCCGGTTCAAATCAGGTTGTTGCTTGATCAACAAAAAACTTGGAACCCTATATTCTGTTTTGCTCATATAACTCGAAAAATTTTCTCTAGCAAAAACAAATGTAAGAAAAGGAATCTTGATACTTTCTTGATTATAAACTTAGCGAGGTTTTGTCTTGAAAAATGTTCTAAATCCGTACATCCAAGATTCAAGAAAAAACTAGAGTAGTGGAAGGGAATCAGATAGCCCCTCCCCTATTAATGGAGGGGCTGCTAGAAAAGTCTTGAATTAGACTGGATATCATAATGGGAGTGTCTAATTAACAAATGAATGGTTGTACAAGGGTAAGTAATGAACAACAGTGACCTTTAGGAAGTTTTTCATGCTTTGAAAGCAAGGTTCAGACAACACATCATTGCAACATATGATTAATGCAATATATATGTATGCAATAATCCCCCATTCCCCAAAAGACAAAAGGAAAAAGAGGGAGGCAAAGAAAATCTAATCCAAAGTGAAGCATCACATGCATGTGTTGATCAACAATAGGTGACAGAAGCTAAAAGCACCCAGACAAGTAGACAACAGAGATTACATAGCATTTTTCACGTACAGGCCACAACCAAACGGAATAAGTCTATTGCAAATCATGGAAAAGCTTGCAGATGCTAACAAAAATGTTCACCTGATGGCACCAGCTGCTGCTTTGTGAAAATAAGCATGTTAATGCAACCGATCTTGAAATTTTAGCATTTCAACATATGCACAGAGTGTCATTTTCCGCAAACAATAAGAATGGAAATCAAATTGATCTTCAGGAATATCAGCATAGTGCTTCTCCACAGCTAAAAATTTCTTCAGTGCCCGTCCAAGATCACCTTGTCGAAAGTAACTTTCACCAGAAGCAAGTTCATACCTTCAAAAGATGGATAACACTCAGTAGGTGCACCCAAATTATAATTAGAGACAACAACATGTCGAAGGTAATAAACAAAAACAGACCACATGCACTGCATGTCATGAAGGTTGTTGTGCTGGTCCCCATCTTTTGTGAACAAAATAGCAGTTTTTTCTGCCAAAGCCACCTTCAAGAGTGGAAAAAGTTTGTGAACAGTACAGTAATACTGAAAGAAATTTACAGTGACAAATATTAACTATGATAAAAGATGAAGGGGGGAGCTTTAGAACCTGATCAGCCTGCAACATTCGCTTCACAGATTCACTGTTTATATAACGGTCTGCGAGATCCATACACCTAGCTTCATCTGCCAATGAAGCTGCAGCTACCAAATCACCAGCACGTTTCAGTATCCGACTCTGTCACCAAAAAGAAGTAAATAATATACACATAGAACCAGCTTCAAGAAAATTCCAAGTACTTCGCCAAAAGATAGTAAAAAGGTTCATCAAGAAACAATAGCCATGTACCAAAAACCCTAAAACCTAAGAAAGGAGGTCATATGCCTGCCCAATGCCCATCAAGACTTAAGGTCCACAAAGAAAAACTAACATGCATTTTAAATGAATGTATATCAACTTTGCACAATTTAGTGCAAAACAATATATTCAATCAAGGTCAGTATCATAGAAAGTGATAAGTCTCTTACAAGTGAACGATAACTACAAGGAAATATCTAGAAAGATTTTCAGGTATTGCTATGCCTTGTGAGATGCGAGACAAACCAGGCAAAAAGATTTCAAAATATAAGATCAAAAAATAAAATAAAAGAATCCAGCTAACAAAAATCTAAACCCAGCAGATGAAGCCAATGCAAAAATTTGAAGATTGAAGACGAGAACAAACCTTGACAGAGTATAAATCAATTACAGTTGGTGTGTGCTCTAAGGCCTCATTAATTTTTGAAAGAGCAACATCATATTGGCCTTTTCTATAGCAAGAAAAGAAGAAAAGGCCATGGCCCACGGGGTGAGGAAACCTGATGATTACCCAACTGAGCCAAAAAGAATAAAATCCATAAAAGTGTTGAAGGGGGCTCTTTCTCTGTCCTGCACTCAATATGAAACACAAGCAAGAAACGACTCAGCATAATACCAAATGTGTGCTTGTGTATTAGCATACAAACAAAAACATATAGAAACTTCACATGCAACCATATGGGACAACCATTATGTACTTGTTTAATAGATAACAACACATAAATGACTGAGGACTTCACCAAACAATAAGCAGTAAAAGAAAAAAATGCACTCAGACCGCACCCAATATCTAAACATTTAGACACTGTTAAGACTTACTAGAATATCACATAAGGGCTGGAAGTCTATATTACTTCAAAGAGTTGTAAATCTAAACATTTATTTGCTTTTAGGACTTAATAAAATATTACACAAGGTTTTAAAGCATATACTAGCTATCAGGGTATCTGCCTGTGGTCCTAATTGAATGCTCCAACTCAAGAATAAGTTGTTCCAATATGTCTGCCTGTGTAAGTGTCAACAAAG